TATAAATATACACACATAGGTATGCATATGGGTGTAAATATATGTATGTATATATATATATATAATATAATATATATATATATATTATATTATATATATATATATGTATAGTATATATACATATATATATATCCATACATATATATATATGTATATAATTTATATATATATATATTATATATAATATATATATATATATATATATACATAGGTATGTATGGCCACACACACACACACATATACTTGATGATTAGTTGTATACAATACCATATCCAAAGCTTCAATTCAGAAGCAACCCCAAGGTCCCTGTTATATCACTTTTCCGCATCACTCAGAAGAAATCATTTCGAAAAGCAATCGCCATAAAGATCCCATTGTTTAACTGGCTGTGAGTACTTCACGGTCTAACGACACGATTTCCGTAAAGGGACCACTTTGAAGGACTACTTGTCAAGCTGTCAACAAAGGCACTGCGAACCGTTGGCTATGTCTTGCACGCGTGGACAGTGCCCCTGTATCTATCTCAGCGGGGGTCTGGAGGAAAACGTCCTTCGGATAATAACAGTTCCATTCAGATCTTAACGTAGTATCTGGAACAGATTGACTACCGGAGTGGCTATGCTTCGGGTACTCAGCCATGTAGACCGTACACTAAACATAACCTATTATTTCCACATTTTGACAACTCACTCCTTAGCATGGTAGAGTAATATACAGTTACTTATGCTTTATTTTAGCTTTCTTTTCCATTATCGATTGATGCATTCTCTGTATGACAGACTCTATTACAGATGATATGATGGTACTACATACGTTTTAAGAGCTATAATTCTTAAAATCTTTAAGTGAATAGGAAGGATCGATATTTGTTGATTAACGCAACATAAACAGTTAAAAATGACTGAAATTTAGCATAAGATATCCTTCTTCTTTAAAAGATAGTGTTAGCGATGAAATAGCATTTACTGTTAATATTAAGCATGGTGATGGAAGCAATATCACTGATATTACATTAAATTGGACAGCTGACGCCATAATGAAGATGATTCTGCTAACAACGATACTAATAATAACAATGATTGGAGCAATAATTCACATTCATGGATGAGGAAACTATGCAGATATCTTGAACAATATGATACAGTACACGTCTTGATGTGACAGACATCAGATTACCAGAATTGTCAACATCATGACCTGGGCAACATTCAATTATCAAGCATTTACAATATACAGTGTCGTATTCTGTACATGTGTCCGGCATATTGCACTTTTATTTCATTTTATTTTTAAGAATGAAGAAGCTTATGATAAGATAACATCATTAGAGAACTGAAATAAATTATGGACATCATTTTTTTTTAATAATGTATAATAATGCAAACAGGGTAGAAATTAAGAATAACGTGCTGGCAAAACAAACGGGCATGTTTGGAAACATGCATCGTTTATTTTTTCATCCTTATGTTCTGAACGTTGTAGTTCTTCAATCTACAAAATTAAATGAGTAATAAATAAGTAAATAATTAATAAATGGACAAATTACGTGTACTATAATTAGTTATGAAAATGGTAATCTCTGTCTATCTCTCTCTTAAGACAATCGTAGTAAAATGACCAGGATGCCAGGAAAATGAAAGGATATCAATATTTTCCGGCTAATCTTTTATTAATATGGACTTGATTCCGTTATTGAAAAAGAAAAAAACAGATAGCTCTGCTCTTGAGAAAGAAACACCTCAGCATATTTTAGACCTGATATAATAACCACAATTAGATCAAAGTTAGTTCGCCAAATACCCTATGACATCATCATTCCCAATTCGATTATGACGTCATCATTCCTCCCCTCTGCCTCTCACACCTTTTAAAAAAAAAAATGTCATCTCATGATGATCATTCTGGTGGAGACTCTGCTTCCTCGCGGCGGATCAGTGATAGATTCTCTGACTGAATGTGCTGTCACCAATCGCTGCACAAACCTGTCGTGTGGAATCACGATCCATTTTTTTTCTTCTTTTTTCCTTTTTTTCGAGGGTGGGGGGTGGGGGGATTAGGACAAGCGTGATCATTTCCTCTCGAAGGCAGTATCCTCCTCATGGCCACGGTGCTTTGTAAAGCGTGACAGCCACGTGGTATATTAGGAAGAGTCTTCGGGTTCTGTTGGTACACACTCGAGGACCAAACACAGCCATGAAGACATCACTGGTGAGTACTGTTCTCTAAGATGGAGAATTTAGAAGTTCGTATTTCAAGAAGGGATCTTTGTGTCATCTGTGTTGCAATACGTACACTGTACACCAGAACGTACATGGATCAGACGTTTGTAATACGTACACTGTGTACACCAGAATATACATGGATCAGAAGTTAGTAATACTTACAGTGTGTATACCAGAACATACGTGGATCTTCTTGCTGTTTATCGTTCTTAATGTTGGATGAAGTTAACTTTTAATTGAAGGTTTACAAAGGGTGGTATGCTGTCGGATTTTCAGGGTTTTTTGACTTAATACTATTTATGTATTTACTCAAATCTGTGTGAAGATTTTAGAGATTATCTTGGGTTATTGTTATTTTTTGCTTGATTCAGTAATATCCGGTACGTACTTTCAAAATCACCAATTATATATATATATATATATATATATATTATATATATATATATATATATATATAATATAATATATATATATATATATATATATATATATATATATATATATATATATATATATATATATATATATGTAACCTAATAGCAAGGTTAAAGTTGCTCTTCACACAGACATCTTATGAAAGTTTCTTAACTAGATACGATGCTCCTACATTTCTGTTGCAAAGCAGATATATGTTTTCGTTTGTTTCTTTTTCTTCGTTTTTCGAATTTATATTTTCCTTGTAAACAAACAAAACAAAACAAAAAAAAGAAGAAGAAGAAGAAAAAAAAACACTTGATTAAGAAAGAGACAAAAAGCAATATGTGCACAGCTCGTGAATATAAAGCTTCACGGGATACACGCTCAATACAGGTTTGCAGACCCTTGCTTTTGATATAGTTGCATGTTCTGACGTAAATGCTAAGCGCAACAGCCGTACACCGAATAACAATAGCGCTTCCAAGAACGACAAAATAGTTTTCGGGCATTTGGCACAGTGCGTTGGAATTTATGCAATCTTATTAGGACATGGCACGTTGATTTCCCTCTAGGAGCGCAAATTCCCAAAAGGTAAATTGGCAGCAGTGATAATGATGACACATAAATAAATCAGGAGCAGCAGTGAAAATAATGACATAAATAAATCAGGATTTTGGTTCCTACAGAATTTGACGAAGTAGGTAGCTGAAAACAGTGAAATCTTTATCCCGTTTTTTGACAAAGGATTTTTTATACTACACGGATCACCAAGAAGAGACAAATGAAACAAACAATTACAACAAAAGACCTTGTTGTTAATATCGAACGTCAAGAAGCAAGTTTTCATATAGATTATTTCGTAAAGATTATCCTTTCCCGTCTCACTTCTAAGCCGTCCCAGAATGTCTCAGATCTTTTCTTCCGTTTCTTTTTTTAGCGTTTATTTTCAAGGGATTTCACCAAGTGCCTTTCACATAGTGCTTTGAGCTTTATTAGTGTATCATGGTAATGTCTGTACTTCGTATGACTCCTTTTTGGGACTTCGTGCTGTTTTACGTGTTTTTAAGCCGTGTTGGTAACATTTTACGCGACTAAATCTATACATTCATTTATTTCATCTGGTATTATTATGATCTGGTCGGTTTATAGACACACACACACACACACACACACACATACACACACACACACACACACACACACACACACACACACACACACACACACACACACACACACACACACACACACACACAGATGTTTTGTATGTAAGATATAATTTAACATGTAATTTTCAGTGTTTTTTATTGAATAATATTCAGGACGATAACACAGAAACACAAACGTGAAAATCTGTCAGATACCAAATATTTGGCTAACAAATTGACTACGTGAAGCATTAGGCATCCCCTCTTGTGGCTACATGTATGTACCCTCAAGCAAAGGAATTGTCGTCCTTCACAAAACCAGTTGCTTTTTCGCTAAGACTAGCAAGAATTAAAAAAAAAATGGTTAGATATAATTTTGTATCTTACCAGATGTGTGTGTTTGTGTGCTCGTGCGCAGTACAACCCACGTGTTAACGTAAAAGTTTTTGTAACAGAATCTATTTCTCTTCACTTAGTATGCCAGCCCCTCTTTATAGATTTCAAAATATATAGTGTTTACTGGAATTTCATACACCCGTCCTTGCTGGCCATATCCTATTAGCCTCAGCCACAGCTTCCCCGCCCCCACCAACCCCCCATAAAACAACCCAATGATTAATATTAGATCATCTAAATCTAATGTTGTACTCTGCTATCTCAAAGTTATATCTATGCATATACACTATAACAACCCATCATGAATGTGAATCAAGTCCTTTACTGTATGTAGTGAAGTAGTGTTTCTAATGAGGTTTGTTCCAATACTCTCAAACCGAACGTAATGCGAGAATGTAAACAAACAGGAGAGGTGCCGCTCCTGCTGTCCAGAGAACTGCACGTACGTATATAGGTATATACACACGTATGATTCAACCACGAACCAAGAACTAATCTCTATTATACATGGTAGGGCCAAGGATACCTCATAAAAAAACTAAAATAATAATAATAATAATAATAATAATAATAATAATAATAATAATAATAATAATAATAATAATAATAATAATAATAATAATAATGATAAAATAATGATGATATAAAATATATATATATATAATTTTTTTTCTATTTTTTTTATTATGAATCTCGAGTTCTCAGACCGTTTATGAAGGTATTTCCTATGCATCGGCTCTATATGATATGCTAATGCAATTTCCAGGTCACAAAAATAAGAGCAAAAGGATTTTGGTAATAAGTTTCAACATTGTTAATATGATTATTATCATCATTATTTTTTAAAATAATGTTATTGTTATTTTGTTGAATATAATTTTTATTACCATTATTATCTTTATTATTGTTATTATCATTATTATTATATTATATATTATTATTATCATTATAATTATAATTGTTATTGTTATTGTTATTATTATCCTTATTATTACTTTATCATTACTAGTATTATTATTATTTTTATTGATATTGCTACTGCTATTATTATTATTATTATTACTATTATTATCATCTTATTATTGCTATTATTATTTATTGTTGTTATTATTGTTATCTTAATAATTATTCTTATCATCATCGGTAATACTGTTGTTATTGTTATCATCATTGTTATTATTATTATTGTTGTTATTACTATTATCATATTAATGTTATAACCATTGCTCTCTCTCTCTCTCTCTCTCTCTCTCTCTCTCTCTCTCTCTTCTCTCTCTCTCTCTCTCTCTCTCTCTCTCTCTCTCTCTCTCTCTCTCTCTCTCTCTCTCTCTCTCTCTCTCTCTTCTCTCTCTCTCTCTCTCTCTCTCTCTCTATCGCTCTCGCTCTTCTCTCTCTCGCTCTCTCTCTCTCTCTCTCTCTTTCTCTCTCTCTCTCTTCTCTCACTCTCTTGTAAGGCTCATGTTCCATTCTTTAATGACTGGCACCTGCTTGCAATATCCAAATTGTTTCACACATAACGCTTCAATTCACTCGAACATAAACCTGTCCACCTTGTCATATTGGCTAACACGAGACAGGCAGCGACCGAACGCTTATAGATATAACACCATAGACCTCTCGACAGCTTCATTCACATACCTCAGCTGACTCAGATTTGATCAGATTTCATGCTCTTCACATCCGTTTGGTTTGTGTAGATTTGCATGTGAGTCGTCGATTACCAGCGGCTTACTAGACAGAATATTCGCTCGCTTTTATACTACAGTTTTGAACACCATAGAACCTTGAATGAACCTTTAGCTAGCATAGACGATTCGACTCACTGAGCCCCAAGCAGACCTAGCTAATAACCTCTGATCGCTCATCCGTTAAATGTTTGTCTGTCTGTCTGCACACCATCTCTCTCTCTCTCTCTCTCTCTCTCTCTCTCTCTCTCTCTCTCTCTCTCTTCCCTCTCTCGCACCCCACGCTCTCTCACTCTCTCCCTCCCTCCCTCCCTCCCTCCCTCCCCCCCCCCTCTCTCTCCCACCTCTCTCTCTATCTATCTATCTATCTCTCTCCCCCCCTATCTCTCTCCCACCCTCTATCTCTCTATCTCCCCCCCCCCCTCTCCCTCTCTCTCGCCTTGTCTTTTGCGTCATGACATGCCTGCATAGTCATGTTTTTCGGAAGAGACACATTGTGGTTGTAATGTTTTGTAATCATCTGTGATGTGTATCATACTTCCGGCTGTGTATGTAGAGGCACACGCACACACACATACACACACACACACACACACACGCATACACGAACACACACACACACACACACACACACACACACACACTCACACACACACGCCACACACACACACACACACACACACACACAAACACACCACGCACCACACACACAAACACTATATATATATATATATATATATATATATATATATATATATATATATATATATATATATGTATATATGTGTGGTGTGTATGTGTGTGTGTGTGTGTTGTGGTGTGTGTGTGTGTGTGTGTATGTTATATTCAATTACACACACACACACATACACACATATATATACATATATGTACATGTATATACACATATATACATATATATACATACAACACAACACATACACACACAAACACACACACACACACATACACACGCACCACACACACAAACAAATACAAATATATTGGTTTCTGTTTCGAATTAATATTCTTAGTGATTCGTCCTTCCATCAAATTTTATTCCATTTTATACAAAAACGTTATTTCCTTCAGGTGACTCTCCTGTTGGTTGCTTTGGCGGCGGCAGAGCAGAAGAGGTCGGCCGATCCGAGCTACGGCTACGGCTTAGGCCTCGGCTTGGGCTATGGCCTAGGCTATACAGGGGGCTACGGCTTGGGCTACGCAGGCTATCCCTTGGGTTTCAGGGGCTACAGCTTGGGCTACGCGAGACCCCTGGCCGCCCACCACGTCTGGAAGCGCTCGGCGGACCCCGGACCCGCTCCCGAGGCCAAGCCCGAAGCCGAAGCCAAGCCCGAAGCCGAAGCCGAAGCCGACCCGTCCCACGGCTACGGGCTCCTCGGAGGCTATGGCCTACTTGGCGGCCTCGGCTACGGAGGCTACGGCTATGGGGGCTATGGGGGCTATAGGGGCTACGGGGGCTACGGCCACAGCCATGTCTATTCTTACCCTACCTATTATACTTACCCGTCATATGGCTATGGTTATGGGTATGGAAAGTAAAGGCCGTTGGTGAGAGAGGCTTAGCGTCTAACACGTACGGGAGACAAGCATTTAAAAAAAAAAAAAAAAAAA